GCAAACTAATTTTGACACCGCCATTTTTTTCAAGTCATCGTCGCCATAGCTCAACAGCTCAATGAATTTAAAATGCCTTTACCTTTGCAGTAATAAAAAAACAAAAAATCAAAAATTTTCTTTTGCATTACCATCTTTCAACAAACGCCAAACTAATACTATGCAATTAATAAAAAACTATCAATAAAATTTATTTTACATTTGTACTAACGTCAGCAAGCCTAAAAGTTCAATCAAAACCATCTACCTAATATAAAGTATTAATGAAAAATAAATATTTCATATCGCTTTTTCTTTGTCACATACCAAGAAATTCAAAAAAAGTCAAAGATTCATAAACCAATATAAAGTTAATATTTATCATTACATTTATGAATACTTCATATGCAACGTGATTTTTTTATTCTGACATTATTGCTAGTTCATTCAAGTTTCAATTTGAACATTCTGTTGCAGTCATATTGGAAAAGTTTTATTTAATATTTACATGCAACTTCATAAAAGTGTAGAGACGACTCGCGTCGCATGTTGCAAAATTTTCCCAACTTAGCATGTGACTTGTCGACGAAACGTTGCGATACCAGATATTATAAGTTCATAGAAAACAATGATTTTAATAAAAGGCAATATGATTATAAAGAAAATAATAAACATAATAAGTTTTGTTCAACTCAAACAAGTGCAAACAAGTCCCTACTCAAATTTCATTGCATTTGAATTGATACGAATGTCGGCGTGTTTGTATTATTATATGGCAAGGTGTAATCAGATTCATTTGCTTATTTATTCATTCGAAACAGAGAATGGTAATATGAATATATAATACATACCTGAAATAGGCGGTGTGGCGGGCAACAGCATTAATCCTGCAAGAAACAAATAATTTAATATATTCTATAACTGAATCACAAACTCATTAAAAATTGAAAAAAAAATATAAATGAGAATTTTTGAATGTTAAAAGATTTTTTAACTGCCCGTAAGGTAAATTATAGTAATCGCAGAAGAATCTAAAATGAAAATTTGTATATTACTTTACGTTTCAGGAGTTCCTGAACATTTTGGCATACCTTGGAAAAAATATATGTATGTGTGTGTATGCGTGTATGCGTGTGTGTGCGGATACAAATTTTCGTCGACGATTTCAGGAACACCAGTCAACGGAATTTGAATAATTAAAAAAATTTCTATATTTCGTTTCGTTTATATGCATCTACGTATAGCGATTGCTTTGAAAAAAAGTTCAAAATTTCCAAAATATTTCAAAATATAAAAAGATCATATTTTTCAAAATTTAATTTTTTCCAAAAATTAAAATTTATTAATATTAATTAACTTTTTTTCAGAGTTCTAAAAGAAAATTAAATATTTTGAAAATTTTTAATTTTTGGGATGGGAAATTTGGAAATTACCTGGAGGCACGTCGTATTTTTAGATGGCAACCCAACGGTTGATCCATCCATATTTGATTATTTCATTATTAGAATTTATCTAAAAAAGCTGACTTTTTAAATTTCATTCAGCAATGATGAAACATATTTAAGATCTAGATTTCCAAGTGAAAATTGATATCGCTGCTGCTGTGTCTGTGATAATCACAAAAACAGATACCATAAAATTAAAAAAAAAACTAAAGATTGGAAAACCAATAGTTAATAATTAATATTATTCATTAATCGTTAATAAAGTTAATATTTATCATTGATGTTCATGACGTTGAAAATTTGTATCCGCACACACACATACATCCATTTTTTCTAAGGTCTGCCAAAATGTTCAGAAACCATTGAAACGTAAAAATATATACAAATTTTCATTTTAAAACTGAAGTAATTTATCCCTGTATACTATCCCATTTAAGACCGCTTTGTACATAATACAGCTGTAAATGTGTGAATAATATATGTACAGGTTTATGTGAAAGGGAAATAGCGCAATTCTCCTAAGAGGTCCTAGATAAGGAAACATAAATTCCAAATAAAATTAATTATGACACATCGCAGCACAGTTTACGTGATTTTGGAGCGTTTAATGTTGCCGCGTTTATCGTGCTGCGTTCACCTTCCGAATACATAATGAAAATGAAGTTGTAAATCAAAATGCACTATATAGGTTACAAGGTACACGCAGATAGGGGCAGGTATACATAGCAAACATACACACAAATTAATATGTGTATTCGTATATGCAAATCTATTATCACACACACAGAAACACATCCATGTAAATATGTGTATGTGCGTATGTCCATAAATTAAGGCAAATTGATACGGGTTCTGTATAAACATGCATGTGTTCTAATGAAGTGAGCTCATGTGCAGCAAACAGCACAAATTTTCATTAATGCCAGCATTAATCACTGCATTACTTTGGTATGAAATTAATTTATTTTATTTAAAATTCCTGATCATTACTTAATTAATCAATAATTTCTATATCTCGCTTATATATCTGGTGTATACCGCAAGTTTTTTGACACCAAATTGGTTTATTACATCTTCTAAATTACTATCAAAAGGTTTAAAAATCTTTCAAAACAAAGGCCAACAGAAGGTTTTTCTTTCAATTCTACTGTTAATTATTGATAATTTTCAATATTATTAATCAATGTCTATATATATATATATATATATATATATATATATATATATATATATCGAAAGATTGTAATTTATATCTGAATAAACAAAAAAAATAATAAAAAATTGTATTTCAATAAAAGAAGCAGAGTATAATAATTAATTTTTTAACTAACAACATAAACAACGTCAATATCCAATGTCTTATGTATATCTTTGAATGTTTAAAAATGTAAGCTGTACTATATGAGATACAAGAAAATATAGTTTAGAAGTTTTCACATAGTCAAATTTTAAACATTCAAATTTTAACTAATTTTAAAGTTTTATTTAATAAAATATTGTATTACTACAGAAGAAACAGAGTTTGAATAACAATAGAAACAAATTTATTCTGAAATATCTTTCTAATAACCCTGAAACACTCCTTGCAAGCTTTTGTCTTAAGCTGTGTAATAAATATAAAGTGATACAAAAAAAATAATATAGAGATGTTTACTGAATTTATTTAATTACCATAATTTTTTACTATATTGTCTTAATTGTCATTTTAAAGGTTTTATTGATTTTCATCTTTTATTTAACAAATGATAGTATTGCCATGGAAGAAATGGAATATAAAACAAGACATCCTGGCATATAATATAAAATATAATCCCCAATATCATTTATGTCTGTCTTAAAGATCTATCAAAAAGTTTCAACTTAAGGTGCATAATAAACAAGATTTTAGGATGTGACACTAAACTTTAGATTAAACACGTAGACAATATCATGTCTGCCTTTAAAGCTCTATTCATAAAATTTGTTTTGTCTTGATTCCTTATTCCATTTCTGGAAAAAAGAACAGAATAGAAGTTTTTACTTTTACAGATTGAGAATCTATGGCCTTTTTCATTACAAATCCTTCACCATATGTATTCATAAACTCTTTAGGGTGTCACAATTCATCGTACAATAAACGATTCCTAATTCCCCAGGATATCAAATCAAATCAATCTTAACCACACATACCAAATTTTGATATCTCGGAGCTTAAGCCGACCCCAACAGTTGCTTAAGTCGATTCACCCTCTGAGAATGCCTTTTGCAGTTTAATGCAACCATTACTTAACCGACGATGCAATTGAACCCTCGGGAATAAAGTATTATAAAGGCATTGGTTTGCTGAACGAGAGTAATAAAGAGTTTATACGAAAACCTACAAGTTCAAAGGAAAAGTTATAAGAAATCGACTAATCCGGAAAAATAAGTTTCTTGTATGCAGTATGTTTTAAATTGGATTTTCTTTGTATATAATAACCTCTTAGTACTGAAAGTTTACGATTTTTAAGAAAAACAAGAAAAAGAAATTCTATGTAAAGTAGAGAACACACATAAACTCGATCTTTTGTTAGATAATATATTGTGTTACGCAAATATATCTTGCTATAGCACATAGCAAGTATAGAACACGAATTTGTAGTTACGTTTGGGACTGCATGGTTATTTTTTTTGAAACAATTTAAAAGATCTTATTTCCTGATGCTGATTTTCTATTATCATAGCATCGCAACTTCTAAACTAAATTTTGAAATGTTTTCTGTAACGATCACATAGATCATAGAGATGACGAATTTAAATGCACATTTTATTATTTTTTGAGTTCTCAATTAATACTAATGAATTCCAAAGCACACCTCATAGTAGGGTTTTTAGAAAATGTTCTTTTCTATATAAAATTTTATGAAAAGATCTAATTCTCTAGGGGCTTTTTAAGAAATTTGAAACTACCCTATCCAAAGAGGTTGTGTAGCCACTCGCAACACAAAATCGTTTATAGGGATAGTGAGTGAAAAAAACATCGATGTATTGTCGATATTTCGAATAAATATATAAAATAATGAAAATTATGTATTGAAAGTTATGAAAGCAGGGGGATAGCTACACAATTTGCAACCTCATAATATAATTTTAAGTAAAAATTTTAATTTTACTACTTTTATCCAAAAATGGTATACATCTATATACATAACTAATACTATTTTCGCCAGCATATTGCACTGTTTACTTTGGCTTTTTGAATTAAGTGGTAGCTGAGATAACGACCTTATATATAATAAATGTGTCAAGAATCTTCATTTTATATATAGAAATATGTATATGAAATATAATTTTATAATTTTTTGATAAGAATATTAAATAAATAAAATTATGAGCTTATATTATACAAAACGATGCCTTTGAGAAGGTGCCTCCAAGGACAAAACTTCCTACGTATTTTTAAGCTCTTTTACATCAACTCATTAGACCATTATTTCTTTAATCTTCTCGTAGTATGTTTGTGTGTATGAAAACATCAATATTGAATTAAAGTCAAATCGATTAACCTGTTGTAAACATTCGCAAAATACATGTCAAAGCATCGATTTATCCTTTAACATGAACGAACGTCTTTCATCCCTATTCATGAGCATCGAATGGAGCAGATTGAATGGCTGCGGGTTGCCTGATGACACGAGGAGAATGCGAAGAGTTAGGTGATTCTCGTCGTATCAACAACAATAACAAAACATCCCCTCGCGCGCGCTTGATCACGAAAAGCAAACAGGATCACGTGCCGCTCAATGGGGTGGAAAGATACAGCGGACTTATCTTAAGCGTATGCAAGATGACGCTCTACAAATTGTCGATCGCCGAATAAGATATTCGCGCATCGGTTCCAGAATAATTTTAGTGGCGTGTAATCTCTTACGTCGGATAATTAACAATGCAAATGAGCAGGGAATCGATGAAGTATGCCAGAATGGGAAAATAACATTTGGATTTAATTTTTTATTATTATAGTAGTCATATATTGTTAAATAATCAATTTGTTTTATTTGTAATTCCACAAATTGGCTGCTATATTATTTCAAATAATATATATTACAATGCAAGTAATAACGCATTTGGTGTGATATACATCTATGTTTTGATATGAGTTGTACAAAGCAATCTATTACACAGCACGCATTTGCAATCAATGTTCGCGAAGTTGCTGCATAAAAGTACAAGATCGCTCCACCGCATTCGAGTTATACACAAATAAAATAATGAATGTGCGTTCGTTTTAATTTCATTTAAGTTCTTTTTAAATTTCCATTAACAAGAATTGTAATTACTATTATCAGTATACACCTCATTTAAAAAATGTGTCTCCTCATTATTTAACATTGTATTCAAATAGAGGACCATACGGCATTATTTAACTCGCATAATAACAAGAACCTAATGAAGTTCTGTATAGGATGGCGGGGCGCGATGCGAACTTGTGTGGGATTAATAGCACATATCTCATTTCGCAGTCAAGGGAGCGAAGTCAACATTTAGATGTAATCTCGCAAATTGGTATTCGCGTATAACAAAGCCACCGCTCCAAGATAGAGTCAACGATATGAATAACGGCCGAAAATAGTAATACAACGCAATCTGAAATCATTGTCAAAGTTCTGCTCTGAAACATGCAAAACGAGAATTTTTCGAAAACCCCGTAGGATTCTATGGCAGTTGTTGTAGATAATTTAATGGGGATATACACACTTATGGATATGATTCAAAATATGGAACAGAGCTTTATGTTCACTACTAAGCATAGGATGACAAAACTTTTACATAAATATTATGTTAATGGTAATTGCTATACAATTCCAAATATGCATCAATAAATGTAGTATATAGAAAAATATTAATTGAGACATTTCTACAAATTGTGACACAATATATCCAATAAAAAATATTGACTGAAATGTGATTATCGTCTTTGCGCCGTCTATAATCGCATTACTGTTACCTTGTCAGTACATATGTGTTTCATTCATTCATCTGTCAGGCTATAATCGTAGCTTTTCAGCTCGAACTAAAAAATATATCTAGTTTTATATATATATATATATATATATATATATATATATATATATATTTACAGATATATACCTATATGTATGAAACAATTACTAGGTGCTTTGACCGAGGTTACTAGACTTAAATTCCAAATTGAATATAATATAATTTGAAATATCGTGTTCAAATTCACAGTAAGTCCATGTATTTAACGCATCGAAACCAATTTGAAGTGTAGGGTTTTAAACCGGTATCATGAACCCAAGGCTTCGTTATAAATTATGTAGTAATACAAAGAGAGCGTTTTAAATGGATTAACTCACCAAACGATAACAAACGCTGCGCACGTGTGAGAAAGTGTTAGTGAATGGCTCTAGCTTGTAGAGTTCGCTTGATAATTATAATAATTATCTTACTTAATTTGCTTAGTTGTTTCATGTATAACGGAGTAAAATGAGTGAACTTCTAATTTTAGGGTGGCGCAAAATAAAAAGGAACACGATGCAGGTGTGTACTGGTGCGAGGCCAGGAATACATATGGAGTGGCCCAGAGCCGGAATGCGACACTACAAATTGCAGGTAATAAATAATTTCAAAATTTATTAATATAATTCAATTAATCAAACATCATCATAGTTTTTTATTAAAACTTGCATAATATGATCGTATGAATTTAAACTGTTTTTAATAGTTTTTATTTTTGTCGGAATTTTCTCTTCATATGCCAATTATTTGTCAGCATCATCTGTTGCCACATCAGTGCGAAGTTTTGATCTTTCTATTCAGTACAATCGCTCATATTTTGTCATATTCATATTGCACTTGAGTTGAGCTCATACTCGGTGTGATTCTTACATTCAAAAAGTACGGTAGAATTGAACTTCTGAACACTCAATAGGTTTATCAATAATATATACAATATATACAATAATTTTTGATTTACTAAATAGAGAAATGCAAATAAAAATAGGCCAGTTTTTCAAAATTTAATATATTCACTTTTTTTATATATGTACGAAGTTTTCGACTGTAAAATAAATTATTGTACTATTTCAAAGTATCAAAAAAAAATCTTATTTTGTAATGTATTATGCCCATAAATAGTCCCTCAATCATTAATCTATCTTTCTAAGAAATTAGATTCCTTGAACTTGACCCAACTATCACAAGTCAACACTTGGCGGGATAAGAATGTAATGGGTAGTCGCTTGTACCCAAAAATAAACCAATCAGGAAAATTTTATAAAATTATGAAAACTGTGAATTAGTATCAACTAAAATTTCAACCAAGTAAGATCAGTAATATCTCAACTTTCATCTAAGTAAGGTCGGTATTAACTCAACGTTTAAAAAAAGTAACATTATCAATCTTATAATTTTATCAATCGTATACCGTATAGTTTAATCAATAAACAATAAATTTAACTATATACCATTTTTAACGGTGTGATATAGGCAATAAAAATATCTGGCCCTTAGCGCATTATCCACAAAAATTGTACGATTTTAGCAGAGTTCGATACATTTCGGTGGATCATGGGCTCTTCATGTAGTTTCACGTTAAGAACTAACCGGTCCACGACAATATTTGTTTAAACTATTTTGTCTCACCAAATCACAAATTCCTGTATTACTACGCATTAGTTATTATTTAAATAATGAATTATTTTCTGCTTCTGAATGTAATTGATAATTTGCTTCGTCGAAAAGCGAGCAAATGATGAATTGCTCATTTCCAGTGTGTCGTCTGCAGACGCCCTTTAATTATCCGCTCATATAGGCGAATAGAATGATATTTGTATAAGTCTAATATCGCCACGGCGCAGTGCAGGTCTAATATCCCGGCTCAATTACGAAGCAATTGATACGTCGTATCACAGACTCACAAACATATTAGACAGTTTATTATGATTGCCTGGCGAGATACACTATCCTGCGAGACAAATTCTAATTGCAAACAATATATATAGTTCATATATGAACGAACTAGTGGATACATAGTACGGCATCATATATTCAGTTAGACACCAGAATTAAACTTGGCAACAGAGTAACAAACAAATTGTTTATTAGTTGCGCAAGATCCTGAATTTGAATTCGAATACAATATTTAAAATGCGTGGTTTAGCTAGAAAATAAGTGAAATAAAAATGTAAAATTATCATGGCATTCATGCAACTTTATTGTTATAATATATTTTTTATAATTGCTTTTCATTATTATATTATTCAAATGTTCATCGCTTTTCATATCTAAATCTGTATGGTAGAAGTTGATAAGTGCTCTCAAAAACGTTGTAAAGATGTGCAAAAAAAGTTTATTTTCAATTTTTTGTGATGACTATATAACCTTCCCTAGAGGAAGTTAATAATTTTCACACCTGTAGTGACCATAGTACCATCAGATGTATAGACGAATCAACGATCCAAACAAATATAGATTTTCTCTCGAGGACTTTCGCGTACAAAAATTTAATAAAGTGCACTACGATCATTTCATTTAACATAACTGAATACGATGCCAAGCTATCTACGTAGTTCGTTATGTCACGATCTTTAATATATGCAGTTTTCCACGTTGACCGTTAGAATTTTATTTGATGCAATATAAAACGAATGGTTTTATTAAAAAATTTTCACTGAAATTCGACAATGCGACGGACAGCTGCCTTTGATAGTAAAGGGGTTAGACATCAATAAAACAACAGCAAAAATCATGATTTTTCACACAAATAATATAAGTTTTTAGATAGTAATAAATAAATTATATTATTAATTTAACGATCAGGTCTTATATAAAGTAGAAATTTATAAATTTAAATCGGTGAAACCAAAAAAATGTATTTAATATCATTTTTGTATGTCTACCAGAACGTGAGCAGTATTCCAAATCAAGACTGTTGTATCAAACAAGTAAAATAGTTGATGTATTTTAAAGCAACTGCATCTTAAACACTTTTGTTTTTTTAAATAATTTTGTATTTCCTATGTTAAAAAAGTTGAATTGACATTAACAATATAAAGTGTTGCTTATTATTCAAAACCCAAAAGGAAATATCAAATTGAATCGGGCTCTCGACCGCGTACAAATAGTCTCAAGTACTAAAGGGGGAGTAATGTGGCAAATCGAGTCAGCCTTAATCTTTGATCATAAGCACAATAGAATACCATGACATATGTACTTTTATAAATGATCAGATTTTTAACACAGTTCTATAAATTTCTACAAAGTGTATTTTAATTAATAAATGTCCATACTAATCAAAAGCAATTTTGCAAAATCAATTAAACTTACACACACTGACCTTAATAAGACTACTACTGATTACTAAATTCAAATCCCTGGTTGCAAAATAAATTATTTTTCTTACTACCTAACTTTTAATATTTGCTGCAAATTTTCCCACAGCTTCCCGTCTATTAATGTCGTTTGGACTCAATAATGTAGGTCTGTGTGCAAAAGTATGTATTCTCGAGTGCATGCCGGTATGTGGTCATACCATCGAATGTGTGGGTGTGTGTTTGATTGGCTCCATCTAGCGTCAGTGGGTACAATTTGTCCTCTAATCAACCCGCCGAGGACACTACCCGGGGACGTACGTGACGGATACCATCGGTGGAGTGATCTGCCGCATTGGTGTCAAAAGCATTTAATCATTAAAAGATTTGGTAAATGCGATTTTTAAATAAATGTAAATCAGTGATTATATATAAAAAATATAATAGTAGGTAAAAATATCACATTAGCAGGATGCTTGAAGTGAAATGGTAGTCGATCGAGAAATTTAACTTTTGAAGAATACTTAAAAAAAACTACACTCGCTAGAACTTGTGACTTATTATGATTGAATCATTTTATAAGCAGTTATACCCAGAAGAGACGATTTTCTAGAATCTCAAGTGGGGTTTAAATTCAAATTGAGGTTTTATGAGGAAATCGAACCCGCGAATTTCTTACATTTACTGGTAAAACTAACTAGAGTAATAGTGAAAACAACTACTTATAGTCATGCATTTATTACTTTCTCTAAATCCACGAGAGGCGATTTTCTAGAACTTCAAGTGGAAATTTGACATCAATTCTGCTTGATGTTAAGCTTTGGCCGTGCCGAGAATCGAACCGACGAACTTGGACTAGAGTTTTTTGTTTTCAGCAAAAACATTTTTTACTTTCTACACTTTTACTTTTACTGGAAAAACTAACTGGAATAAAAAAGAAACATCTATTTATTGTTATGTGTTTATTATTTTTCCTCTACATTTTAGTAGATGTTGACTTAGTTCAGTAAAGCAATATGCAAATGATATACTTTTGTTAAGATGGAAATAAATATGCACATGTAAGTTATGAATGTTGCCATTTAAGAAGTTGAGAATATTTTTGCCATTTTGTTAATATTATGGTACGTAATATCTGAGAAATTTTTTGGCAGATTTTAGCACTTGGCATAGAATAATAATCATGCCAAGAAACGTTTGTTTCACCCAATTGCATTAAACAAAAAGGCATTGCAGAGCAGATACCAAGTTCTTTTATTTACATAAATTACAGTTTCAGTATATTGAACAACTAGTCCAAGAAATTTAACTCTTTTCACGAAAGAAGTTGAGCGTGGCAACTTTTGAAACAATGTAACTGCCACTGTACAATACGACTAGACAAAAGTCACAACAAACAAAGAAACAGAACTATATTTTTTAGAACTTTCAAACTTTTTCGTGCCCTTTTTCCAGCATTGCGGGGTTTTCCTGTGATTGGAGAGAAAACGATAGCAATTTTTCGTCATCCCAGAGGATTCGTGCCGAGCGCCACTTCGTTTTGTGTCACGCTCTGATTAAATACCATCACTGCAACACTCAATCTATACCTATTCTTTCAACGTAGAAAAAAACTCATATAGACACAGAAAAAAGCAAACTTGTTACGAAAAAGTTTGTAAATTATTAAATAATACTTGAAAATCGCCATATTCTATAGTGCAAATACATAGAAAACTCAAAATCTGAACCTAAAATATTAAATAAAATAGTTTTCTTTCCATTTGCATATACATTTTTTAATTATCGCTAGTATCTACAGTTTTCTACAAGTTTGTAAATAATTTAATTTCAAAATAATTCGATACGTATACTTAGATTTATAATTGTAAACAAAAAATAAAAAAAAAACGCAACTAACCACTTCAATATAATAATCGTACCTAAATGACTTCATATGAGCAAGGGATCGTTGGATTTTACATGAAAGATTGTGTATCTTAAATATTATTAATAATTATGTCAGGACTTTTAAACTTTTGTATTCCGATTAAAACTAACGTTTCAGTTTTTAAGATAAGTAATTTTGCAAATATTCATGTTTCGAAACTCTGAACCTTTCTTTTGGCATTCCTTAGGAAAAATGAATATAGATTTGAATGATTCGAAAATTATTCGATTTTTGTCAATCAAAAAGTGCAAACACAGTAATTTTAAAGAGAACAGAGCATCCGATTAGAATGATTCAAAAAATATATTCTTTGTTTTAAAAAAAAAAATCAAAATATCAAAAATTCTAGGGTTCACTTATATACTTGAAAT